CAAACTGAGGTTTTCAATTCTTGAAGTGTCAGAATATGCCCAGCACATTCTAGCTTTTTTATCACTCATTTCAGGTATCCAAAATTTTTTTAAGACTAATATTTAATTAGAATGTCAAATCCGGCACTGTACAATTTAATATTCTACAACAAACACATGGGGGGTATTAATTCGAATTATCCTTGGGGCAATATGGGGAAAAACGTCGGGGTTTATGAAAAAATATTGCAGACAACGTTCAGTCTTGAAGATATCAATTTTGATTATTTTAGGGGCCAAAAAAGAGTCTAATCACTCTGGTGCGACCTAAACCTTTGAATTACAGTAACTATTGATCTAACTTTAAGCCCTTAGATTACGATTCCAACCCCCCCTCCCCAGTTTTTATGCAGCCCTTGATGTATGAGGAAAGAAATTTTCAGCAGTTTTACCCTATTATGCCTACTCACCGGGCAGAAAAAGATCTTTTAAAGGGCAGTCAGGGGTTTTTTGGTGGGGGAAAAGGGGCTGTCTTCACCACGGGGTCTTTTTTTGGTGCCCCCTGATTTTGGTTCAAAAAGATGAGGGATGACAGGTCAAACCCAAGATTTTTTATTAACTGTCTTTTACATTATTTGAGTCAGTTTATTTGAGTGACCCCCACACCACCAAGTACCACTGAACCTAGTTTTTAGGGCCATGGGAACTGCAAACCATGGGACCATGCAACCCAACTAAGAGGACCACTAAACAGTTGATGGGTTTTGGAATTGAAATGGGGGGGAGGGGCGGGGAACCAGGCTGCGAGTCATTGGGCGGTTTTGGCTTCCCTCCATTCTGTTCAGTGCGAGTCTTAGGGGGTTTTGGGGGAGTGTGGGATGTAGACAGGAAAGTATCACGGGAAATTAATAGAGAACTATCAACGAAAGGGGGCAAAAGTAGGGGATGTGGAAAAAAGTAGGGGAAAGTTTGGAAGGACAGGTGCAGTAAGAAAACGGAAAAGGAAATGGAAAGGGGAAAGGGAATGGGTTTTGTAGTATTTGTATACTATGCATACAAGTTACAAAAGTGAAAATTTTTTTATAAAGCTACAAAACTAGAACTATTTTCGAATCTATTTCTATGCTAAATTACCTACTGGACCATGTACTAAGAAATATTAAACAAATTCATCTAAAATTTTTGTTTAAATGTTTTTGGGGTGGGGGGGGAAAATTTTTTGGTGGCAAATTTTTTAAAGGGGGTTGGTGGGGGGGGGGTCGGAAAAAGGGGGGGGGGTGAAATCCCCGGGGAAATTTTATGATTCTAGATTATTTTTTATTGCCCTCCCAACAAAAATACTTTTAAAAGCTACAACAAGGTAAACCAATATCTTAATTTTTTGAGTTATAATAACATAAACCTACCTTAACGGTGGATTAAAATTTATAGGGTTATCCCCCAAAATTTTAATGGGAAATTAAAACTAATTTTTCGAATTTATAAAAAAATTTTAAAGGAGGAAGTTCTTTTTAATTTTCATTCGACGAAATTTATAAATTATTGACGATTTTTAATTATTGCACCCAAAATTAAGTTGGGTAAGAACCTTAAAAGGGGGAGGGGCCTCTTTAAAAAGGGCCTATCACATAAGGGTATTAAATTTCATTTTTTTTTTTCCCAAAATGGGGCCTCCCACCGGGCAGGGTGACCCCAAAAAGAAAAAAAACCCCCAAAAAGAAAATATTTCATCATCATTCCCTTTCACCACACCACACTTACACTGTTTTTGCAGAGGGCTCAGAATACAACAGCTTAAAGCATAACATAAAAAGATACACAACAATCCCTCCAAATCCCAATATCCCAAACCCCCCCTTTTAAAGTGCGGGCATTGTACTTCCCATTTTCCGGGACCAATCCGACTAAAAAAAAACCGGTTTCCCTAAACCCCTTCACTAAAAATTACCCGCCACACTCCAAAAAAGACCGGGGCCCAAGACCATTCGTCCCATTCACTCCTATCAACACACTCACCCCTTGCGGGAAGTCCAAGCCCCTTCCCACAAAACCTCCTTTTACCCCTCTCCCAACCATTTCGAACGACCCCAAACCCCCCTTCCTTCCCCTATAAAATTATAAGCTTTCCATGTCTTTCTTTTTGATCCATTCTCCTAAATGCCCAACCACCCCAACCCGTTCTGCCCTCTACAAATACTTTATTAACCCAACCTTTTCCTAATTTTCCACACTCCGAATTTCTGCAAAATATTTACACCACACATTGCCCTTAAACAGGACATCTCCACTGCCTCCAACCTCTCCCGCGCTGCTTTTACCACCCAAGCCACCCCATAAAGAGTGTTGTACTACTATACTTTCATACATTCCCTTCTTTGCCTCCATAGATAACGTTTTTTTGACTCCCATATACCTCAACGCACCACTCACCTTTTTCCTTCATAAATTTTCTATGTTTAACCCTCATCCTTCATAAATCCATCCGCCACACGTCAACCCCCAAGTATTGAAAACATTCACTTCTTCCATATCCTCCCCCCCAATTTTTGATTCAAAATTTTTCTTTCTAAAATTTTTTTACCCCAACCCTTTTTTTTTTTTTTTTACTTTTTCCTTTACCAAAATTCCAAAAAATTTTTCCCCAATTTCAATTTTTTTTTTTAAAAATTTAAAAAAAATCCAAAAAGAAAGTTCAATTCCCCAAAAAATTTACCCCCCTTTAATCCCATTCCCAAACCCTCCCCTTTTCTTCCTTTTTAAACCCCCTTAAAATATTAAACAACCAGTAATTTCACATCCCTGCTAAAACCTTTTAAATTTTCCCCTTTTCCCCCCCAACCCACCCCAAAATACCCCTAAACCTAAAAATTTTTCCCCTTAAAAACTTCCCAAAATTTCCAAACTTTCAAACCCCCTTTTCCCTTTTCCCCAAATTCCTTTTCTTTTCAAAAAAATTTTAAAATTTCCCCCCTTTAAAAAATTTTTTTTTTTTAAACACTACCCCCCCTCCCCTCAACCTTTTCCCCCTCTAATTTTTCTTTTTCCCCCCCTCAAATTTTTTTTCCCAATAAATATTCCTCAAATTTTTTTAAATTTTTTTTTTTTTTTTTTAAGAAACCCCCCCCAAACCCCCCCCCCAAAAAAATTAACCCTTCCTCCAACCCTTTTTCCCCCTTTTAAAACCCCTTTTTTTCACCCCCCCCCCATCCCCTTTCCCCCCCCCCCCCCCACCCTTCCCTTTTCCCCCCCAAAAAGGGGCCCTCCCACCCCCCCCCCCCCGGGGCCCCCCCCCTTTTTAAAATTTCCCCATCCTTTTCCCCCCCCCCCTCCCCCCCCCCCCCCCCCCTCCCCCCCCCCCTCCCCCCCCCACCCCCCTTCCCCCTCCCCCTCCCCCCAAATTTTTTTTCCCTCCCCTCCCTTCCCCCCCCCCCCTCCCAACCCTTTTCCCCCCCCCCCCCCCCCTCCCCCCCCCCCCCGAAAACCCCTTTCCCCCCCCCCCCCCCCCCTACCCCCCCCCCCTCCCCCCCCCTCCCCCCCCAACCCCTTTAAAATTTCCCCCCCCCCCTCCCCTTCCCCCCAAAAAATTTTTTCCCCCCCCCCAAAACCCCTAAAAACCCCTTTTAAAAACCCCCCCTTTCCTTTAACCCCCCCCTCCACCCCCCCTTTTTAAAATTTTTCCCCCCCCCCCCCCCCTTTTTTTTTTCCCCCCAAAAAAAAACCCCCCCCCACCCCCCCTTTTTTTTCCCCCCCCCAAAATTCCCCCCCCTTTTTTTCCCCCCCCCCCCCCCAAATTTCAAAAGGGCACCCGGGACCCAAAAATTCCCCCCCCCATTTTTCCCCCCCCCCCCCCCCCATTTTCCCCCCCCCCTTTTTTTACCCCCCTCCCCCCCCAATCCCCCTTTTTTAAAAACCCCTCCCCCCCCTTTAAACCCCCTTCCCCCAAAAAAATTTTTCCAAACCCCCTTTTTAAAAACCCTTTTAAATTCCCCATTCCCCCCCCCCCCCATACCCCAAAACCCACCACCCCTTTCCTTTTTCCCCTTTTCCTTTTTCCAAACACCACCCCCCCCCCATTTTCCCCCCCCCCCCCCCCCCCTTTCCCAAACCCTAAAATTTCCACCCCAAAAATTCCCTCCCCCCAATTTTCCCCCCCCTTTTTTTTCATTTTTAATTTCCAAAACAAAACCCCCCCCTTTCTTTAAAATTTTTTCCCCCCCCCCCCCTTTTTTTCCCAATTCCCCAAAATTTAAAATCCCCCGGGAAAAAAATTTCTTTTCCCCCCCAAATTTTGGGGCCATTTCCCAAAAATATTCCCCTTCCCCCCAAAAAAACCCCCCTTTACCCAAATTTTTCCCTTTTTAAAAAAAAAACCCAATTAAAAAAAAAATTTTTTTTTTCCAAACCCCTTTCTCTGTAATTTAGGAAAAAAAAATTGATAGTGATTGGATAAGGAAAGTATAGAAAATAAGGGGCCAACAGGAAGCTTTAAGGTAGTAGCCTGACTGGACAAATCACATCATGATTAATGGACGGAGGGTCGAGCCTCCACCACTCCTTGCAGTGAATGACTTGCAAGGGTTTAAAATGTTCATGAAATATGATACGAGGTATTATGGGACTGACCCTGAGCCACCCTGGAAGACACCCTGGAGACATCTACACGGCCATGGTTGATCCTGCCCGGGGGAAGCGAGACAGATCGTCGCGACGTTGTGTTGGACCTCTGACGTTGTGATACAGAGGTGGAGCGACCCTGACGACCCACATTCACGTGGGGGATTTTAGTCAGGCGATTCACAGGCACAAAGATACCTGAAACGAATGTGTGAGAATGCTGATGTACACATTACATATATTTTCCAACTTGCAAGTTTCAAAATTAATTTACATTTCATACAATATATCATGCAATTTGACCACAATGGATGATACACAAATTCCAAAAGCTTTCGTGCTACAGCAGTTTCACAGCTTAGATCTGCATCCCAGCGGTAGTCAGCAAATTTCAGTTACACATAACGAGTCCAGGAACTGCACCACAGCCACATTATTGAGAAAGTGTTAACATAAAAGGAGCACTACAGTAGGCCAAGCAGTGCATGCTAAGAAAGTTCTTCAACCTAATACTTCTCGCTCCACCTTGTTTTTTTTAAACACAAGCTGTTACCTGTCAGTAACATTTATAAAGTTATCAACATGCAACATATCCAATTTGTGACATAAAATGATCTGTTACAATCCTTAGCAGTCCAGCCGTGGCTTTGTTGATAGCACATTCAGCTCACGTACTGAAGGTTCCTAGTTCGATCCCCGGCACAGGTGAAAATACTGGGCATATTTCCTTACACCTGTTGTCCATGTTCACCAAACAGTAAGTAGGCGCTAGGGTGTTAGCTGACTTGTGTGGGTAGCATCCCAGGGGTGGTAGCAGACCTTACATAGAGCTCTGACATGAGCTAAGGTAAAGTATTAGCCCGTGAAACTGAGGTATAAAAAATATCAAAGTGGCTAAGTAGTCTGCAACAACTGCTGACCCAGATATTGCTATCAACAGAACTGATCGATTTTCTCTATTTTTTTTTTTGGAATATGTAACTGCAAAAGGTGATGAAGTGGAACGATTTATAAAATCCAGCGAATTATCGCGAGTAATTGCTGAAGATTTTTTTTCCAAAAGATTAAATTTAATAATGGTATATAATGCTGACAAGATGAGGAATTAGACACAGGTGGAACATTTGTTGTACAGAGAATTACTGAAAATGGTGGAAGATGTGTAGTAGTAGTTTGATGTGATCAACCCCTCAGCCTTGATAGCAACAGTTCAGTCTTGAAGAATCTCAAGTAGATTCACAAGGGGCCAATCACAGTCACAAAAGGCCATTCAGGATTCACACAGGGTCAATCATGCTTATCAACTCTCAGTTTCAATCTCACTATGTCTTTGTTATGTCTAGCTTTTTTCACTACTAAGAATTTTATTAAGACATCACGAAAGCACTTCGAATTTGCTATGTTTTATTTTGGCAAAATTGCATAGTAGATATCATTTATTATAATATTGTTGCACAATGTATATTTTATATTTCAACAAGCTGACATCACTACAAAGTAGCGGCAAAGAGAACATCATATGAACTGACTAACCATAGTTCTTAGCACAGCGGAAGTACATGACGCCTTTGACAGTGCCGTTGTGACGACCTGTCTGAGTCTCCAGCTCCACTCCTGCCCACAAACCTGTCGCAAACTCTGTCGTGCCTACAAACCTGCAGAGATGTACCATTAGTGAATAAATAAGTGCGTGCGTGCATGCATTTATATATATGTGAGCGTGTTAGATAGAACTGGAGACGAATGGCTTTTGGGACTTTATCTGTTGGGATGAGAGCAAGATAATATTTTGTGAAGGGATTTAGGGAAAGCGGTTAGCCAAACTTGAGTCCTGGAGAAGTACAGTGCTTGCAGTCTGAAGGAGGGGCTTGGGATATTTGCTGTTTAGAGAAACAGCGAAACTGTTGTATTTGCGTGCCTCTGGCAAGACAGTGGTAGTGTGAATGATGATGATTAAAGTGATTCTTGTTCGGGTCACCCTGCCTCGGTGGGAGACGGCCAGCATATTTATTATATATATACATTTTTTTTTTCAACAAGTCGGCCGTCTCCCACCGACGCAGGGTGACCCAAAAAAGAAAGAAAATCCCCAAAAAGAAAATACTTTCATCATTCAACACTTTCACCACACTCACACATTATCACTGCTTTTGCAGAGGTGCTCAGAATACAACAGTTTAGAAGCATATACGTATAAAGATACACAACATATCCCTCCAAACGCCAAAATCCCAAACCCCTCCTTTAGAGTGCAGGATTGTACTTCCCACTTCCAGGACTCAAGTCCGACTATATGAAAATAACCGGTTTCCCTGAATCCCTTCACTAAATATTACCCTGCTCACACTCCACAGTCCAGGTCCAAGTTATCAATCGTCTCCATTCACTCCTATTAACCGCTTTACGCTGCTGGATGTCCAAAGCCCCTCGCCCCAACAAAACCTTTTCCCCCTCTAAAATTTTAAGAAAACCCTTAAACCCCTTTTAAAAAAAAAAAATATGTTTCCAAAAAGTCTCTATTTACCATACCTTAAAAACCAAACCACCTCAACAACCCCTTTTCTGCCCTCTGCTAATGCTTTTATTAACTCCACACCTTCTCCTAATTTCCACCTCCAATTTTCTGCATAATTTTATACAACACATTGCCCTTAGACGGACATCTCCACTGCCTCAACCTCCCTCGCTGCTGCATTTACCATCCAACTCACATCCATAAAAAAAGGGGTTGTACTACACTTTCCATACATTCCCTTCTTGCCTCCATAATACCGTTTTTGAAATACCATAACTCAAGCCCACTCACCTTTTTTCCCTCATCATTTTAGATTAACCTCATCTTATAAATCCATCGCCGACAACTATCCCAATATCTGAAAACATTCACTTCTTCTAACTCCTCCCCAATTGAATCCCAATTTTTCTTTATCTAAAACATTTGTACTCATCACTTACTCCTTTTTTATGTTCACTTTTCACTTTTTTACCTTTTTCCACATCTCAAAAATCATCCACTATTCCTTTGCAAATTTTTCTTTAGAATTTCCCTTTAAGCACAGTATCATCGCAAAAAGTAACTGTGTAAATTTCCCATTTTGAATTTGATTCCCCATAATTAACCCCACCCCTCTCCCGAACACCCTAGCATTTACTTCTTTTACAACCCATCTATAAATATATTAAACAACCATGGTGACATTACACATCCCTGTCTAAGACCTACTTTTACCGGGGAAATATTCTCCCTCTCTTCTACACACCCTAACCTGAGTCTCATTATCCTCATTTAAAAGCTCTTTTCAGCATTTAGTAACTTACCACCTATTCCATATACTTGCAACATCTGCCCCCATTTTCTCCTCTATCCACTCTATTTATATGCCTTTTCTAAATCCATAAATGCAATAAAAATTCCCTACCTTTATCTAAATACTGTTCACCCTTATGCTTCAATGTAAACACTTGATCTACACATCCCCTACCCACTCTGAAGCCCCCCTTCTCATCGCAATCCTACATTCTGTCTTACCTCTAATTCTTTCAATTATAATCCTACCTTTAACTTTTCCTGGTATACTCAGTAAACTTATTCCTCTATAATTTTTACAATCCTTTTGGTCCCCTTCTCTTTATATAAAAGGACTATACATGCTCTCCGCAATCCCTAGGTACCTTCCCCTCTTTCATACATTTATTACACAAAAGTACCAACCACTCCAACACTATATCCCCCCCTGCTTTTAACATTTCTGTCATGATCCCATCAGTTCCAGCTGCTTTACCCCCGTTCATTCTACGTAATGCCTCACGTACCTCCCCCACACTTACATTCTGCTCTTCTTCACTCCTAAAGATGGATACCTCCCGACCAGTGCATGAAATTTTCCGCCTCCCTTTCTTCCTCAACATTTAAAAGTTCCTCAAATATTCTCGCCATCTACCTAAACCTCCCCCCTCCCCATCTACTAACTTTCCCCCACTCTGTTTTTAACTGACAAATCCATACTTTCCCCAGGCTTTCTTAAATTGTTTAACTCACTCCAAAATTTTTTCTTATTTCATTAAAATTTCTTGACAGTGCCTCTCCCACTCTTTCATCTGCTCTCCTTTTGCACTCTCTCACACCCCTCTTCACCTTTCTTTTACTCTTCATATACTCTGCTCTTCTTTTAACACTTCTGCTTTGTAAAAACCTCTGTAAGGTACCTTTTTCTTTTTATCACCCCTTTACTTCTCATTCCCCAATCCCCTCCTTTTCCCCCTGCCCCCCCTCCCATAACCACAAAATTCTGCCCACATTTAATACTGCATTTTTAAAAAAATTCCAAAACCCCCTTCAACCCCCCCCTCTCATCTTTTCACTAACCCCCTTTCTGCCAATATCGCTTATATCGCCTGAACTTTCCCCCTCCCTTTGTTTATACACTTTCACCTCCCCCTTTTCTTGTTGTTGCCCCCTTCCCCCTTTCCCCTTACCCTTTACTCTAACTGTGTAAACTAAATAATGATCTGATATTCAGTTTTCCCCCCCTATA